GCCGCCGCCGCCCCCGCGGACCCCGGCACCCTCCCCGCCCGAGCCGCCCCCGCTGCGGCCGGCGCCGGGCTCGGGGAAGTTTGGCCGTGCGTGAGGATGCGGATTTATTCCTTCCCCCCTCTCTTTCCCTGGCCGCCGGCGCTCGGCGCACTGGAAGCGGCGCTGCACAAAGCCCGGAGCGGCGGCGAGCCCTGCGTGTGCCGTAGTTGGTGTGTGTGCGGTGTGTGTGCGTGTGCGTGTGCGGTGTGTGCGGTGTGTGCGAGTGGCGTTTCTTGTTCTCTTGCAGGGTACAATGTTAAAAAGCCACCGCTAGTCGCCCCCAGTGCTCCTACTCTCTGGGTCTTTTTGTCTCTAGTGCAGATTAAACGTCACGTCCGCACTTGAACTTGAATTTTATCCCATTGTACAGAGGCAGCCCCAGCCATAGAGAGACAGAGCGCTCCCAGAGAACCAGGACTCCGCCATCTTCACATTGCAATATATAATAGTAATAGCCAGCACCAGCCCAGCTGCACTGGGGGCTTCCTTCCTTCCAGTCCCAGTGCCAGGCGAGGGGGGAAGAGTGCAAAGTGGTGCAGGAGCACTGGCAATCCAAAAGCACCAGGGCAAAGCAGTGCCACTTGAACTGGGAAAGAGGAGACACAGTTTCGGCTACCCCTTTTCAAAAAATTCTCTCTATATATCTACCCAGCAAGGGTCAATCTTTGAGAAACATTTTTTTTGGCGATCTTTTTTTTTTGAGTGGGGGCTATCCCAATTCTAGTACTTTTCTTCTTTTTTTTAACTGCAGTTTTTTAAAAAAATTTTGATTTTTTTTTAAATTTTTTTTTTTTTTTTTTTTTTTTTTTTTTTTTTTTTTTTTTTTTTTTTTTTTTTTTTTTTTTGCCCTCTTGGTGGAAAAGCGCACTTGCCAATTTGCCAAGCACTCTGGAAAGAGGAAAAGAGAAAAGTGTCACTGGCGGTGCATATCCTCCTAAGTTCAAGAAGAGATCTGGAAGTCCAAGTGGCAGAAGCAGTGGAGAAAAGACAGTGTGTGAAAGAGAAAGAGAGCGAGAAAGAGCTTTTCCTGATGATGATGATGATGATGATTTTTAATTGAGAGGGAATCCCAACCAGTGCACCACAGCAGCAACAAAAAGGAGGCGGTTTTTTTTCGTTTTTGATTTTTTTGAAAGAAGAACTCGATAAAGAAGAAGAAGAATAAAGAGGGGGAAAAAAAAGAGGAGGAGGATCGGCCCCCCAACACATCCCCCCAAACCAGTGCAGCTCTCCAGGCGATGCCAGTGTAAATGCCAGGGCAATGTCCCGTCGCAAGCAGGGAAACCCGCAGCACTTGTCACAAAGAGAGATTATCACACGTAAGTTTGAACTTGGAACCAGACCGAGCCGAAATCGAGAAGCAAAATTAGGGGGGTGGAGGGGGGGAGAAGCCCGAAGTTTGCTGTGCGTTTTTGCAGCGGTGCGGAGGTGAGGCGGCCAGGCAGGCGGGAGGGCAGGCGGCGTGGACGGGGAAGGAGCTGCCGGCGGGCAGAGCGCGGCGCGGGGCTCTCCCGGGGAGCGGCTGCGTGCGCGGGGGGCGGCGGAGCGGGGCGCGCTGCCCCAGGCCGGGCCGGGCCACCCCGCCGGGGCTCCGCCGCTCGCTCCTTGCTTCGGGGGCAGCACGGAGCGGTGGGAAAAGTTGGCCGAGAGCCTCGCCTCGGCGTGACAGCCGCGGAGGGTGGGGGGAGGAGGATCAAGGTGGGCAGCAAGGGAGGGAGACGCGGAAGGGCCGGGGGGACTTAGCGGGAAGCACATGGAGACGGTGGGCCGGCGGCGGCGGGGCCGAGCCCCCCGGCACCGGAGCGCGGGGCAGGTAGCCGGCCAGCTGCGCCCTGCCCGCCCCAGGTGCATCGCCGGCGGGGGAAAAGAGCTCTCCGAAGCGCGGGGCAAGGCAGAACCAGCTCAGCTGGGGCTAGAGGCAGGACAGGGGCTGCCGAGGGGCCGGGTGCGGGCGGGAGTGTCTGTCGGTGGCGGGGGGCGCGAGGAAAGCCGAGGCGGGGACCGGGGATGGAGTGCACGAAATGCGGGTCGGGCAGCGGCACCGGCTCGCCTGCGGGGCAGGAGTGGAGGCTGCACTTTGCTGAAGCTCCCATTGTAAGTGAAAATACACACAAAAAAAAAAAAAAAAAGGAAGGAAAAAATAGAGGGGGGGAGGGAAAGCGGCATCCCCCCCTCCCCCCAGCACCAGAATCCCCCTCCTCCCCGTTCCCACCCCTGAAGCTCCGGGAGAGGGGCGAGTGCCTGCAGGCAGAGTAGGGGGCAGGTCCCCGGGCGGGAGCCCCACTCCGCCGCTCCCGTCCCCGGGGGCCCGTGCCGCGAGGCGGGGGGGAAATGTGGGGGCGCCTCCCGGGGCGTGCGGCCCCCAGCGCCCCGCGCTGCTCCCACGCCTCCGGGCCACGGGGAAGGGGCAGGTCAGGGGGGGTCCCCATTTCCCTCCTATAGCATAGGACAAGTTTGGGGGGTGGTAAAAAAATACCCGGCACGCCGTGGCCCCGCACCCGGCAAGCCCGGCCGGACCCCTGCCCCCCCCGGCCCGCAAGACGAGTCCGCAAGTTGTTGTGCTGCGGGGGGCGGCGGCTCGCACGGAGCCAGCCCGGGGCTGAGCCTGAGCCGCGGCGGATCCGAATATTTATGTTGAGATTTTAAAAAATTTAAATAAATAAATAAAATATTTCCCCGGCTTCTCTCCCCTCCCCTGAAAGCCAAGAATAGGAGCCATCTGCCAGGAGCATTTGGTGCTTGCGAGCTCCTCTCTTTCTTTGTTACCGGTGATAAATTTCTGTTTGTAAGATTTCCTTGGGAATCGAGATATATATGTGTATATAATTTTTCCACTTCCATTGGGATTTTCTTTTCATAGCAGAGGGCTGTTGGGGGACGGGTTGAGTTCTGAAATACAAATTTCTTTCTCTGTTTCTAGGTGTTTTTTTTTTTTTTTCCATATATATATATATGTATATACACACACATACATATATATACACATACATATATGCATATGTATTTTTAAATGTGCGTCTTTATTTTATAAAAAGTACCCCTTCACCCCACCTCTAGCCCATCAGCTGGTGGAACCTTGATGAAGATGCATCTGGTATTCAGCTTTTGCTGGGGGGGTTGTTTTTAATTCATTGTTATTTTGGAACCAGATTTGCATCACCATAAAAGGTGGAGGATGCCCCCCTTCCTCAACTCCCTCCCCTTCGTTAATTGCATTTTTGATTTTAACCATCCGGTTTGGAAAATGTTTATCCTTTTTGTTGGTGAGTTATTATTCCCCCCCCCCCCCCTTTCTGTTTTTTAATTTTCTTTTTAAAAGTATCAACAGCCATCTAAATCGCCCAGTGTAATTTCTCCCACTTGTTTTCTGTCTCACTTGCGAGGAGATGTGGGGTGTTGAAAGGGGGTGTGCGGAAAATCTGTTTTGTTGCGCACGTCTGAATTTGTTTCAATGGGTGAAACATTTCTTTTCTTGCTGATGTTGCTGCTGGGGAGGGGGGGAAGGGGGGTGGAGAAGAGAGTCAGGTAGGTTTGTTATTCCAATTTGATCTCCTTTTCCGATCGCTTTACTTGAAGGTAAATAATGAGGCAGGAGAGTATTCAAAGGTGCCGAGGAGCTGCGTGTACAATGGGTTTAGCGGGAAGGCTGGGGGAGGAATGGAGAGCAGAGCAGTAAGAGCTTCCCTCCCTCCCCTCTTGTATTTATCTATCTCTCCATCCTGAGGAAGCTGGCGGAGAAATCAGGCTGCATACTGAACAGTGGCAGAAAAAAAATGAAGGTATCCAGGGGAAGGAGGTGGTGGGGGGCGGGGGGGAGCTGCGCCGGGCTGGGGTTGGGGCTGGGGAGCAGGAGCGCAGGCATTTCAGCGCACAGGTCTGAGCCTCAGCTGCAGGCTTGCAGGAGAGGGGGTCGCAGTCTCTGCACTCCTCGGGAAGTGTCATTCGTGGGGGAAAAGCAGCCAGGCAGTGTCCTCTCTAAAGAGGAGTTTGGAAAGTAGTGGGCAAACAGAATAGGAAACCAAAGCACTCACAATAAAATAGAGTCAATCCCAAACCAAGCCCCCAAAGCCAGGATGAATTGATACTGTTTTCAGAAATCTTGCTTTTATGTTATGTTTAGCTTGGGCTTTTTTTGCCCTGTCTCCCTTTTTGGCATCTGTAAGGGGAGTTACATTTCAGGATGGATTGGAGGTCTGTGCCAGGCAAGGAAAGAGATGGGGAGAGAGATGGGGAGAGAGACAGAGAGAGAGAGAGAAGGGTTTTCTGACACTGTTCAGCTGGAGTTTATTTGGTTTCATCCACTTGGTGTTTGGAGAACGTTTAGATCCTGAGTGTAAGACAAACAAACTCAAAAAGGAGAGAAAGTGCAATGTAGCTGTGCTCCGGAGTTGCAGCATCTCATTAGCACAGTGGTCTTTAAGTGGTGCAAAACGAGTGGCCTGCCTGTGTTTGCCAGGCTCACCCAGGCAGCCTTGTAACCGTGCAGGACAAAAGAAAGAGGTGAAACACATGGAGAGAAAAAAGCAACTCTGGACCTTTCTTCACCGCTGGTGGACAGAGCAAACTTGGTAGCCAAGCTCATTTAAATGGGTGGACAATGCAAAAGAGCTGATTATGTGTAGGAGAGGAGGCTGAAGTGTTGAGCTGCTCAGTGCAAAGAAATGTTATTTTGGTTTGGTTCAAATTGCTGATTTTCCAGCTTAAGATCTTCCATTTTTAACTTAAGAAATCTGTTTTCAAACTAGCCCTGCATTTTGCATTTGAAGGAAATGTGAAAGGCAAGAGCATGTGAAAAGCTCGCTGGTAGCAGTTTTGCAGAAGGCGGCAAAGCTAGAACATTTCTGTAGAGCAGCAGCAAAGATTGAGAGGCAAAGGCACAGGAAAATCATACAATTCCAGGCAGAGAACCAGGTTTCTCAAGACAGGTCTTCAGTACCTGGTCAACAGGTTTCCTAGGAAGAGCAATAATTTCCTGTATCACTTTGTTTTGTACGTAGTCATTAAAAATCATAACAAAAACCCTATGATTTTTTGCATGTCAAAGTTTTGCAAATTGCTCCAAGGAGCTTCTCTTAAAATGCATTTAGATTTAGCGCAATTAACATACTTTCCCTGCAGAACAAAACCCACACCAATGTAATCAACTCTAATACAAAGAGAATGTAAGCTGTGACTGAAGAATTAGAGAGGAAATTACTATTATTTTAAGGATGGATGACTTTTTCATAATACCTGCATGGCTGTGCACAGCAAAGCACAGCCTTTTAAAAGACATTATATGTGTTTACTTTAAATAGGACAGGGGAAAATAAAGGTTGCATGCTGTCGACTTCAGGTTGTCTTTCATTTGAATATATTTCTATTGGACGTACAAGATAAGTAAAAAAAAAAAAAAATACTGGCACATTTTCATAGTTTCTCTTCTTTAAAAATGTTTTTGAAAACTGCTGCAGAGTAACTAGGTTGTGGCTGGGGGTTGTTCTGTCCTTTTTGCTTGGTGTGTCCGGTGGCTTAAATTGATATACAGTGGGTGAGAAACCATTTTGCAGTTTTTTTCTGGTCGGCAGATGCAGAGCATATTTAGTCAGGCTTATTTAAATACCGAGACATAAAACTCTTCGAGATTTCACAAACTGCCTGCCTTTAATAGAAATGGTGGGAACCCTTGGTTTGCACAAAATGTGTGTTTTTCTGCAGAACAAAGGGTTGTCTTGTGGCATATTTGGCAATAATTATGACTTAGAGAAGTGTGCGCTCGAAGAAGTAGTACAAATTTTTGATATCATTTATAGACTCTGGTTGACTTCAGCTGCTCTTCCCAGGGCTGAGCTCGCTGCGAGCAAACCTCTGCTTCCAAAATGCCTCGCACGCGATATTAGCTTGTCTCCCACATTTCCTACCTGCATCTCTTTGCTCTTTGTGTTGTTTGTTGATGGAAAATACTTTCCAAAATAAACTTCGCCGGCTGCCGGAGCCTGCCGTGTGCCCCGGCCGCCAGTGGCGGGGGTTGGCGACTAGGGGGAGCTCCCAGCCCGTGCGATGGCCGCGCCGGCCCCGCCGCGGGACGCGCGGGATGCGCCGCCGGAGCCCGCACCGCCGCGCCCGGCGCGCACCGTGCTGCCGAACGCGCTCGGCGTAAAGTTGTAGTATTGATTTCCATGCGAAGATCTATACAGAGCTAGCCGAGAGAGGCTGACAGCGAGACAAATCTATTTTTAACTAAATCGCGGCTGATTAATTGACTCGGGCGGACAGGAGTTTTTAATTAAAATTAGTTTTTAACGGTGGTTTTTATTGTCAACAGACAATGTTTAAATTC